CGCGCTGCCCCCGCGGGCCCCTGGGGACCCCCAGGACCCTCCCGCTGGGCGCCGACCTGGCCATGAGGAGCCGCCGGTGGAGACGGGGCGCGCTTGCTGTCCCCGCAGCCCCGTGACAGCAGGGACCCCCTCGCATGGGGGGGGGGGTCTGACTCCACCTGCCAGCAAGAGGCGCCCGGCAGAGGTCCCCTTCCGCTTCGGGGGGCGCGATCTGGAGGGGCGCTCCCGCCGCCCCGACCTCGCAGCCCCGGGCGGCCACCATGGTGCACAACGTGATTCTCGTCTTCTTCCGCAGACGGCTGAGCCAGAGACCCGCCGTGGAGGAGCTGGAGAGGAGAAACATCCTGAAACGTGAGTCCCGGGGATCCCCCTGGAGCCCCGCACGTGTGTCCAGCGCGCCCGGCTGTGGCCGAGCAGCCCCGCGGCCAAGCTCTGGAGGAGCCGATGCTCCCAGAAAGTCCCCTTTAAAAACATGGGGCGGGGAGCGCTCCTCCTGGCACAAGGAAAGCTGTCCCTGTCACGTTCTTCAGTCAGCCCGGTGGCTCTGAGGGCAGGGGATCAATGGGCTTCTCCCCACCGGGCTTCAAGCAGGTTTCCCTGGGAGTTTCGGGTCCGGACAGTGTCTTAAATCCTGCCGTAGAGAGTCACGCGTCTCTGTTGTCACACCCAGAGGGAACACAGCCGGCAGCTCAAAGGGACAGGGAGACGTGGATTCAGCCCCCCCCCCCACGTCCAGTTAGGTGTGTCCTGCTAGGTGTGTGCTGGACACAGGTGCCCGCAGGTGGGCGGCCTCCACAGCACAGAGAGCAGGATCCCTCCCGTTTAAGTCCTCGCGGAGGCGGGCGGTGCAGCCCTCTGGGGAGCGTTTCTCAGCCAGTTCTCCGGTAACTGGTCCACAGACTTCAGTTTCCAAAACAGTTTCTGCAAAGAGCATCTTCTGGGGGCCTGGGTTTTTAAGTGTTTTCATTGCTTTTCCCTGTACGTGAGGAGCGCTGTCGACGTTCCCTGACTTTGTTTCTGTCCCGTGAACATCTTTTTACAAAGCCACGAGGCTGAGTCTCTGCCAGGAGGCAGACGGCGGCCCCTTGCCCTGGGCGCTGTCCCGATTCCCCCCTTTGTGGCCTCGTTGTCCTCAGCTCCCGCCTCCTCAGGCTGGTGGGAACATTGACCCCTGAGACGGAGAAGCCTTCATTGTACTTCTTAAACTTAAGAAACGAAGCTGTAGCCTGTGAATGAGGGTGTGTCTGAGGATTTAAAGGAACGCTTTCCGCTGATGACACTCGATCGAGTGGGCAGATGTAAACGCTGAGCTCTGTCACCGCGCGTTAGAATTTTAGAGAGCGGAGTCTCTAATGTATAAAGCTTCGAAGTCGCAGATGTCCTGAAATAACTAGTCCAAGGCTTGAATGGGGAAAGTTCTAGAACCCGGGCAGTGCCTCCCTCGGAGACGTCTGTCCCCCGATGGCAGGCAGGGGCCTTTCTCCTGGGAACTGTGTCCCCCGGCAGTGGGGACCTCCTTCGACTGTCAGGGACGGCCAGGCCAGGTCCTCCCACCGGCGACTGCTTCCGATCGTGTTGGGCTTTGCAAATAAACGCGGAAGCCGTAAAAATACGACGGTGCTTAGTGAGTCAAGATGGCAGGAGTGACCAGTGACCGCACACACCCTCGGCGCACAAAAGGCACACGTGGGCTCCCTCCACGTGGCCGTGGCAATCCCTCCGTCACCACTGAAGCATCTGATGCGTCCCCAGCTCGGAAGCCCCTCGAGCACCCTGAGTGGGGGAGCCTGAGAATTTCAGGGCTGGTCCGTGGGGGGCGTGCGCTGCGTTCTGTGGGCACGAGAGCTGGGGAAGCGTTTATAGACCAGAAGAGAACCTCAGGTCACAGGCCCTGACGCCGGCTCCCAACGCTCCTGCGCCATGGCGTCTTCTGCCTATAACCAGCTCCGAGGAGCCCCTCACCTTGCGTTTGCTCCCCTCACGCGGGAAGCTCATGGCTCACTGCGGTCATGGCTGCGGGCCTCGGCCTGTGCGGCCTTGGGCGTGAGAGAGGGCGGGAGACGCTTGCCCGTTTTCCGGGACGGCTCTGCGCCGGGCACCCTCTGCGCCGGGCGCGGTCCTCGGAGCTCGCCCACGGTCTCTTGTTGCCTCGTCACTGCGAAGTCACGAGCTGCGCTCTGCTGCCCTTATTTCTAGAGAGAGGGAGCGAGGCCTCGGCCAGGTCTCAGGGCTTTTGAAGGTGAATCGTGGCGAGGAAACAGCCGAAGTTCACGGCCAGGTCGCCCGGCCCATCGTCCGTGTCCGGCCAGTGCGTCAGCAGCAGTAATACAACCCCGCTGACTTGCGTGTGACTGTCCACCCTTTCTGGGACACATGGGAACGCAGGCTCTGGCCAGAGCTCCTGGTCGTGGAAACGGCACAGTGTTTCCGGGGTCTGGAATAACCCACGGCTGAGCAGAGGTCAAGGACAGGCCCGTGGCGGAGGCTCCTAGGAAGGACTCGGTGCCGGGAAGCGCACCCGGGCCCAGGCCCTGCCTGCGCTGTCAAACCCCGCGCACCTGCTGTGCTCCCGCGACCTCGCGATGCTGCTGACGCTGTTGCCCGTTGGAAAAACACCCGCTTTTCAGTGTTTTCACATGGAGGCTGCGCTTGGGATCTCTCCATGGCCTGTTTTTAAGAAATCTGAGAGATTAGTTTTGTATCATTTACATCCCTCACGTTGGCCTTATGTGCTACTTTCACATTTTTTTTTTTTTATTGTGTGATCAGCTTTCTGATTAGAGCCGATAACTAGTTTCTTCTAGTTTATCACTTGGATTAAAAACCAAGAACATAATAGGGTTTCGTTTCCTTTTCTGAAACACCCAAATGCGAGCTGAATCTGCCTTTTTTTTTTTTTAAAGAAGAAAAATTAAAGAGCAGTGGCGGATTCATTCAGCACCCCGTCCGCCCGGGCCCCCAAGTGCACGAATGTTGGAAACGTTCTAAGTCAACCAGATGATGTGAGATTATGTTACACACGCAGACCGCAGGATCCCCCCTCCGAGGCCTGGCAGTGCTTCCAGGCGTGCCGGCGGAGGGGGGGGCCCTTTCCCAGGGGTGCACGTCTGTTCAGGCCGAGGAGCTCGGGCTTTATTTAGCACCGGAGAGAGCCAGAAATAGGACATCATTATCTCGCACTCCAGGGCCGGGCACGGATTTTACTCCACGCCGAGGCTTTCGCTCTATTTTTAGCCCCCGCGTGTAGGTGTGAGCCCAGCCCGAGTGTTTGTAGTCACAGCTCAGCAGGCAGAGCCCGTCTGGGCGAGAGCCTCGGGCTCCTGGGAGAGGCGTGTCGTGTGCGTTCCCTCTTCTGCCGTAGGGAGCCGGCTGGCTCATGGGTGTGTTGGCACCGGAAACGTACCCTGAAAACATCAATTCCAGGCGGGCGTATGTTGCCCACCATCTGAAGAGGGTGTTTGTATCTTATGTGCCGGTTGCTTAAGCGTATGTGTAGCATCAAGCGGAAAAGGAACGTGCACGTGTGTGTATATAGAACTGATCCTACTGCAACTGTTTTTGTTTGTTTATGTTCCTGCGTTAAATACACGTACAGAGATAAGGTGTTTGACGAGCGAGAGTCTGCTCCCCGTTGCTCCTGTAAATAAATGCACGGCAGCAAGAAGCGTGGTTATTTCTGACACACAGAAGGGCCCAGGAGATGCGATGCTGGCGAGGCTTCCCTCACACAAGGGTTTCTGGGGACCAGCGTGACCACGCTCTCCCGAGCGGCGACTGGCAAAGTGTCGCCTGCAGGGGGGACTCGATCCTTCCCATTCAGCTGCAGGAAATCTGGGGGTCGCGAGGACGCGCCCCTGCTGAAGGGAAGAGGGTCTCACCTTCTTTCCCTTTGTCTTTCGTTTTCCACCTCACAGAGAGGAACGACCAGACAGAGCAAGACGAGAGGCGAGAGATCAAGCAGAGGCTGACGAGAAAGGTGCTGTGCTCTAAGCGTCTCGCCTCCCGACTCTTAAGGGGGACGAGGGGCGGGAGGAGAGCTGGCTCTGGCGCAGGTGGGGTCGGGGGCCTGCGGACGTCACTCCGGGGCCCTGCTTAACAGCTCTCTGGGTGACACTGAGTTCACGCCCCGAGCGCTCGAGAAACGGGGCCATTCGCCACGTCCGGTGCGTGACCCCGCCACGCCCGCGGCTCAGGCCCTCGCCCAGCACGGTGGCCGCTTGGCGTGGCACTGCCATGCAGACGGCGTTTTATTTCCAGGAAGCCGGGTATTGACTGGGCATTTTCTTTGTGAATTTGGGGGCTTCATGTGACATCCAAGAAAGCACACCTGGATGTCAGTCTCCTGGTCCCCGTGAGACTCTTTGGTCCCCTTCCATTTGGGTACAAAGCTCCTGATGGCAGAAAACTGCCCTCGCCTGAGGGTTTGTGTGGGGGATTAAAGTTCGCTGTGGCCAGTCCAGGGGCAACTGTAAGCTCCAACCTGCTGACGCCCTGACTGGATCCACAGGCTCGGGTTCCCCGGCCGTCATGTGTCCCCTGTACCCTGGCGTAATGACAGTAAAATCTCATCCTGCTGGATGGAAGTCAAGAGAATAATCCTCCCGAGCTTGAGAACCGCGTGTAGTCAGCATTTTAAGTTTGTCGGTCACTTTTTAAAGAAGCTTATCTGATGATGCTCAGGAAGAAGCAGCCACTGCCCTGAAATTTATTCCAAGTTAATTTATCGAACTGTCCTCGAGCCTGTGCGACGTGCGGGGCTCCAGGGCCGGAGCCTGGCTGGTGAGGCGCGTCCGGCGCGAGGGCCGTAACTTGAGCGTGTAGGTCAAGGCCGCCTTCTCGTGAGAGATGATTCGCAGTTTCCGAGTTTCCTATTTGTGGATAGGAATGTCCTGTTTATAGGGGGCCGTAAGAAAGCTAGTTTGGCATGTGACACCTAACGAGGTGATCTTTTATTTCAGCTGAATCAGAGACCCACAGTTGACGAGCTCAGAGACAGGAAAATTCTGATACGGTTCAGTGATTACGTGGAGGTGGCGAAAGCACAGGACTACGACCGACGAGCCGACAAGCCCTGGACGCGGCTGTCGGCCGCAGACAAGGTACGGACAGAGCCACCTGCGCCGGCCGGGGGTGGCATCGTGGAACGGGCGAGCCACACCGTGGCCGCAGACAAGGTGGACAGCAGACCATGTCACGACGGGGAGCTCGTTGCACTGGGCGCCGTCAGCTGTTGCATCTGAGGCTAGGCCTCAACCGGGTGTTGGTTTCACAAAAAATAATTCAGGATCAGGGTTGTTTTCAGCTGGGGGGCAGTTCTGCCCCCAGGGGACGTTTGGCAGTGTCTGGGGGCAGTTTTGGTTGTCACAAGTCGGGAGCACCGCTGGTGTAGGTGGGAGGAGGCCCGGCAGGGGACAGTCCAGCCCAACGTGTCAGGAACGTGGAAGTCGCGCCACGCAGCCTGGACGTGAATCAAAAGCAGGCCGGGCTGGCAGAACAGACACTGGGGGACGTAGGTTTACACAGAATGAGCTACCGTGGGGACCGAGGGGCAGAGGACATCTGAGGGGCACAGGAAGGGCCCCCACGGTGGGAGCGAGGTGGCTCTGCAGGGCGTCCCCGTCCAGTCGAGGCGTCTCCGGGAACCTCACGGGTGGTCCAAACGGAATGTTCAGGGCCCCGAGAGCACGGGAGCGGTGGGTCCCCGAGGCCAAGGGCGAGGCAGGGTCACCGGTGTTCCCCGAGCCTCACTCCGCCCTGGACCGAGCCCAGCCCATCAGCCCGTCGGTCATTATTTCATTTAACCCTCAAAACAATGCCTGTGAGTGAGGTTCTGACCCCAGCGGAGAATGGGTGCCTGGGAAAGTCTCGGGGGGTCGTCCTCGTTCGTGGTCGGACACGGTGCGGCGGGACTCGAACCCGGGTATGTCTGCGGCCTCTGCGTCATGCCCTCCTGCCCCTTCTGATCTCAGAACTCTTACAGTCTTTGGGAAGAGGCACAAACACGTCCAGCCAGTGAGTGTGCTCACGCTGCTAACTGTAGCTCACCTTTCTGTGCGGAGCGTGAATCTGTGAGGTTCCACGTGAATGCACGTGGGCGTCGCATAGGCCTGGAGAGACGCAGACACGTGACTCTTGGTCACCCGTGGGCGATGGGCGGGGAGGAGCATGGTCATACAGGGAGAGGAGCAAGTGTCTTTGGCAACAGACCATTCAACTCCCCGAAACCCTCCGCTCAGAGCCTGTCCTTGTCCCAGAGGTGGTGTCTGACGTTTTTGTCTCCCTTGGCCCTGGAGGATTTATCTGAGAGAGACACGCAGGACAAAAGTGAGCTTCTCGTGAGCTCCTCAGGGCCCTGGAAAGCCTGGGGTGCTCACACGTCTCACCCTCATGCACCGACTGTGTTATTTTTCCGACAACACAAAACGTAAATGCACGTTGACGTTAGAATGGCTTCCTTCTAGGTCACCAGGTGAGTGAACCGAAGCGGGACTGACTTCGGCATCCCTACTTGATAAACGCCCTGGGCATGTGCTCGACCCACCTGTCATGTGTGTGGGGGGCGGGCCCTGGCCAGCCGTGGCCCAGCGACACCCTCGCTAAGCATGTCCCTAACCTGGCCATGCACCAGCTTGGTGGCTGCGAAGCCGCATAAGAGTCTAGATGCTGGACAAAAAGGCGTTTCTCCTTTTTTTTGTTGTATTTTTGTTTTTTTTGTTTTGGAAATACATTACAAAGTAACAGAAGTCAGCAAGTGTTAGGAATGGTTGTTAACCTACCCCTGGTACTAATCTCCCGTGTCAACCATTTAACGCCCCATAAAACAACGTGCCGTTTTCAATTTCAGGCAGCAATTCGTAAAGAACTGAATGAATACAAGAGTAACGAAATGGAGGTGCACGCGTCAAGCAAGCATCTGACAAGGTCAGATTTCCATTTGTGTGAATTTGGGGATACTCATAGCGTGGTGTTTATTAAAGAGAAATGTATGGAAGAAGTACGTATCCAGGTAAACAAATGCAGCATCTCTGTCGGGAACCACATTGTGCGGATAATGCTGCTCGATTGAAAATGGTGTTCGCTCCCACGGTGTCTCACGGGGCTTGGTGACGGGCGACCATGTAGGACAGTATCACACAGGCTGTTAGTTTTTTTTAAGTAGTTAATGTACATTGAAGAGAATTAGTCTCAAAGCGATGAAAGTAATGGAGGCATTTGCCTGTGCTGAATTCCCGCTGAGATTCACAGCTCCCCCAGTCTCGAGAACCCCGGGGTTTCAGTTAGGGGCGTGCTGGGTACTCACTCTCCACCTCCCGGTGATGTTTTCCTGTCTCATTTATATTCACACCTTTAACACGAGCTGATGCTCGCGAAAGCTCAGGGAGCTTTCGTTTCTTCAGCAAATATGTGAGCACCTACTATGTGCCGGGCGCCGTCCTGGGTGCTGAGAAAGCGCCTGTGGAGTAAGGTGAAGGAGGTCCCCACTGTCGCGGCGTATAGTCCAGGGGGAGTATATTGGCCAATTCTTCTAGAATTAAGACTTTTTTCGTCAAGGTGGATGTGGTCTCCGTCCACGTGTCTCGTTGACGTGGACAGTGGAGTGGGCGGGCTTCCCTTTCTTGGCTCCTTCCCTCCTCCCGGTCCGTGGCCGTGGCCGTGGCCGTGGCCAGCACTACTCATCTGAAGTTCTCGTGTGCCCTTCCCCCTGCGGGGGACGGCCTGGGCGCGACAAGCCTTCCACTGTGGCGGTCGCTCTGTCGTTTCTCCCTGATTCTAAAGATGCTCAAGCCCGAATTCAAAGAGAAAGGAAGTCCCGCCTCCCAGCGAAAGATCGGGGGCCTTTCCTTTTCCGTTCGCCACACTGTGGCCACAGCCACTGTTTGAAAGATTCACTCTGAGCTCAAGGTAGCTGCGGGACAGAAACTAGGGACGTGACGTCGCATCCTACAGCAGGTCGAGGGTGAAAACGCACGGGCAGAGGAGGCTGGGAGCGCTGGAGGAAACCACTCGTTGGTCTAAACGTTTTAACGTCTCCCTGCCCCGTGACTGGCGTACGTTGGGAGGGACCGGCTCGTCTTATTTTCGATTGTTCAAAAACACTCAAAAATGTTGGGGAAATAAACGTCCAGTAAAATGTTCAGAGTCGCCTTTAACGTTCGCTCTGTGTTAAAGATGGAGTCATTACATAGTCCACGTGTGGCAGTCAAAATATTTACTGCGCTTTCCCATTATACGGTCAAGGGATGTTTACTAAAGCTATGTATTTTCTCTCCCAAGTCTCGATAGCTTTCTTAGGGGACAGAATTTTAAGAGCGAGCCCCAAACTTGGGCACCAGGAAGCAATCGTAAGATTTTTATACCACCCCATTTTAGCGCTTACTGTCAAATTTTTAAAAGTCAGAACAATATTTTTAGTCATATGAGGTTTTCTTAAGTGTATTAAACGTTACCACAAACACGTTACCAACTCGACAAAAACAAACAAAATGGGAACGTTACTGTAATTTCCAGCGATTTGTCTCTTCGGTCCATCACGTCCACTGATTTAGCGAGGCCCCGGCCTTTCTCGGTGCTTTAAGGGTTCAGCTAGCAGCTTCCAAACAAGGTTTTAGGTTGTCTTTAAGCATTCGAGATATCGTGCCTTCTCGGGCACCTTGGGAGCTCCCCGAGGCTCTACGCTACAGCTAAGCGGGTTTTACATGCTGGGCCTCCGAGAGGCTTTCGGTAGCAACAGCTTTATTTGTGGAAGGTTTGGTCGTTTTAACTTGGAAATGTATAACCTTAAGTTATTTGTCTCTCTTAAAAATAATTTCTAGATTCCACAGGCCATAGAGATTTTCTTCTGAGAAGAATTTGCGTTTAATTTTTGATACCAACACTGAACATTCATCAGGGAACTTTCCTGAAGTTTTCAGCTCAAGACTACCTGCTGTGTGTGTGGCAGGAGAGGATCACACACAGGTGGACCCCTGGCCACGCTTAGCCGCCAGAGGGGACACCAGAGGACACGTTTCACTCTTTGGTGTCTGAGGAGTGAACTATGGGGTCAGCTAAGACCCAAGTGACTCGACCAGAAGAAAACTGTTGTTTGCCTTTCAAGCTTGTTTTACAGTCCTGCAGTGTGACGGAGGCGGGCCACACGCATGTGCAGGCTCACCCCTCCGAGGCCCCCGACTCGAAGGACATGGGACGCAGCGTCATTCAGTGTTCTGTTGAAAAGACATTTTTATTCTGATCATGGTTAATTTGAGGACTCTTTAAGTTCATGTTCTACAAAATGATTTACTGTATTATACTTTCCCTTTTTTTATATAATGTCTAACAAAAATACAGCTGCAACATTTTGATTCCTGTTAATTTTGTTCTTTAATTAAATGACTACTTATTGCAGGAAATTAACCTGGGCTTTATATTTTCTTGGGGATGGGATAAGAGATTTGTTAGAATAGGGTTCTAGGAAACAAGTCAAATTTTATGACTTTTGAGCATCAGAATCCAAACATGAGAGAATTCAAATTTTTTGTGTGTTTCGTTTTGCAAATTTCGTTAGAGTTTATGGTTTGTGCCTTGGAAAATCAAACGATCTTTTTCAAGTCAATTTAGATTTATGTATCATTGAGTAATGAACCTAGAAATAAGTACTAACTTGTTGAAAATTCTACCAAGGTGAAAATTATACACTCTTTAAGTGTATTTTTAGGTTCCCATTTACAAACATTATTAGAAACCATTATAAGAGACAAAGGTTTCAGATGGCGTCGAGATTAGAGGAAATTTCCTTGGCACGAAGGTGAAAAGTAATCTTGGCACGAAGGAGGAAAATAAGTGAAATAAAAATACATGGTCCCGGAAAGATATTTTTATGTGGACTTTGAATAATGTCCTCCCAAAATGATCCTGCACCATCGCCCACACCCACAGTGTGGCGGGGACACCGCGGCTTGGAGCTTGACTTCCAGAGCTGTGCAGCGGGCTCAAACCCCAGATCGTCCTGTTCAGCAAGGTATTCATTCTCTCTGTGGGAAGATGCCCCCCGTCTGTCAACACCGCTGCGATTTCTAAAGGAGATGAAGGAGGTGAAGTAGCCCAGCTCCCGACACGTCCCAGGTGTCCAGTAAATGTTAGCGTTGGTAGGGGTGTGGCCTGGAGTGGCCTGGAGCAACTGGGTGTCCTCTGCAGCTTCTTCCCTCGCGTGTCACCTCGGTGCTCCCCCAACCCTCCCCGTGTCCCTTCCTCAAGACCTCAGTGGGTCAGGTACCCATGGCAACTGCTCAGCCTTGTAGCACTGTGTCCCAAGGGGCTTTGATGCATCCTAGCTGCTGGCAAACCCACTGCTGGTTGAATTAGAGTCTTTAATAAGAAATCACTGTGATAGAGGAAAAAGTCTAGCTCGCTCTCTTCCGTGTAACCCGCTGCGAATCACGTGACTTCTCTGAGCTTCAGTTTCTTCATCTGTGAAATGACATATCTAAACCCTATCTGACTAGAAGGCAGTTCCTTAATTTTATAAACATTTATGTATGTATATATAGTGTATATTTAATATGTATTTATACGTGTAGCCTCTTTTATTCATAACCCATTATCTGTGGCCAGTCAACCTCTAAAAAACATTTTTTCTATTTTAAGCTACGTGTTAGCAGCTCCCTATTTTATGTTACTCGATTTAAAATATTAATTGGAGCCCAAATTATGTAAAACTAAGATTTCAATCTCCCTCGTATAGAAATATCCATGTACTTACTTTGAAACAAAGGGAAAAGGCGCTTCTGTGCTGGCACCTGTCCTGGCCCCCAAAGCAGAAAAGACCAGTACGGCTTAGAAAAGAACCCAACTGTGTCCGTGCTTGGAGGTGACCTGGTAGAATGGACACGTGTTAAGGTCTTTTGTCCAGTGAGGTCCCATAATGAATGGACAAGTGAAATTAAGATAAAGTTCAGGATAAAGACCCAAAGGAGGGTTTGGCTTGGTCCAGACCCGAGGGTTCTAAGATATCACAGAACCAGAGGATGTCGTCACTGTCACTGCAATTTTTAGCAGTAGGATCTAGCTCCTCCCGTCGACTTGTTAGTCGTAAATGATCACTCTAAATTGTTTCCATATTTCATGTTCTTATCAAGTGTCACTGAGGTCGAGAGAGAAACTCAAACTGTTAGTCAGGTGTATGTGCTCTGCACCTAGTAAGTACCCACAATCCTGAGCTAAGCGAGCACACAGTGGGGCATCTCAATCTCTTGTCCTAGTGAGAGGAAGAAAATTAAAAAGCAATTCACAAATTACATGGTACCCGTGAGATTCATGCGTAGTATATACATTTACCTGTGTTGTACAAATCTAAAGCAAAAGTTTTTATAGTAAGAGTCTGAAGACTTAGAAAACACAATTTCTGCCATTGTATCCGGTGACAACCCGCTACAGTATCTGAATTACCAGAATTCTTCAGGGCCGGTACTGGTCCTTAGGGAGGTTTTTAGGCATTGACTTGACAACTCATTCGTTCTTATTCTCACAGAATAAAACTATTAAAGTAATGATGAATACTAAGCCATTAAAGAAATTCTGTTTTTAAGGAATTTAAAAATTTAAGAATACTGAATGGGTAATTTTACGAAACCAGTCTCTTCTAGAGGCATTCATTAAGTTGTAAGGCAATCTGACAGAGGAAAGAGTAGATCATATGACTTTATAAAAAAGTACATTTAAAAAAGTTAAAGGTACTTGGAAATTTGTGAGTAATTTTGGGACAATTAAAATGGGTTTAAAAAAACACTGAATATCAAGAGGTCCACCTTGTGGAAATGTATAGTAATTACAAGTCTAAGTTTATCCCGTTGTATGTGGAGGTGAAAACGTCTTTAGCTCCACAGCCACAGTTCTTCAACGGCAAATTCAGGTCCAGAAAGAGAAAATTCTGATCGTACTGCTCAACTTGTCAGTCCCACATGCTTTGCCGCCCCTTACCCCTTCACCCCGTTCTTTCCCAGGGATTTTTTTTTTCAGTTTTCCACACGAGACGCTTCCGAAGGTGCCCACAGCAACTGACCACACTGACAGTCAAGCTGAACTACGGAAATACTTTAAACAGTAAATATACATTGTTTTACTGTAAATTTATTGATAACGATTTTAGGAATATACCACTAGTTCATATTTAGACAATGTCTTGCTAGAACAACAGTGGAAAAGGTACCAATTATCAGTCCCATAGCTTTATGGAACAGAATATTTTATATTTAGAGTAATAAAAAATAACTTAAGTCTTTAATATCAACTATAAATCTCTTTAAGGTAAACAGGGAAATTCTTAAAAATCACATTTTTTTGACAAGCGATAGTAGAGAAATCTGGATATGGCAGACATGCTACTAAGTTTTAAAGTTGAAAACATGCTGTTATGTGCCACTTCAGCATCATTTTCTAGATTGTTCGTTCTCCCTTTTCAGACATAGATGTACTGGAAATGTCACTGCAACACAGGCGTGAGCCCTACAAGCCTGCTGCACGCCTCCCGGTCCGCTCCCCGCCGTCTACCCAGAGACCTCGGTCACAGAGGTGACTCCCAGCGTGGCACAAAGCACAGCGTCAGGACCCACAGGACATCTTGCTCCGAGTTTGACATTGCAAGTTAGATTCGTTGCTGTTATTTCCTGGTACGTTATTTCGCTCAGAATTCTACTTGAGTTGTTCCTTCATGGCATGCGTGACCCCCTCCATTCTTACTTCAGCTTTTAACTCGATGGGTTAAGGAATGTAGACACGAGCACGTCACAACTGTGACGAGGTAGCCGCTGAGGGGTGGTGGTGGCAGAGTGGCTACTACGGAGCTTCGCCCTGGGCCCCGAGTTCCGAGGTGGCAGAATTCATCACCGTAGGCTGCCAGCTCGCCTGGAACGAAACGGTAGATGAAAGGCACAGTCCACAGCCAATCAGAGGGCCCGCTGGGCGTCCACGGGACCGGGACTTGGTGGCGCGTAGGTCTCTTTGGTACTGTCGGAGAGGCTGGTATTGAAGTTTCTGCCTGGCTGTACTAATACTGCAAACTTTTTTCTCTTCCATGTCCTTGTGTTCTTCTGGAAAGTTAACACTAACTCGATTTGGTTGAGGAAATGTGGTAAACCTACACCAGCGTGGTGGTAAATTGTGATCTAGGTAAGAAATATAAGTTGTTAGCTACAAGGATCATTATTTTTAATACGTTTGAAATAGAAAAAATTTTTAGCTATGTGTATATATATATGCATGTAATATATATATATGTATGTATACATATGTATGTATGTATACGTATGTATGTACATTGCTAATAGAAAATTGATTTAGATCACTATTTCTGTTAAATAGTAAGATAAATTGAGGGATTCAGTTGTCTTGCAAACTACAGCTCAGACCAAACCTGGCCCACCTTTCTTTTTAATGGCCTACAAACTAAGAATGGTCTTGCATTTATAAATGGCTATATTTGCCATGTTTATACAAGTATTTACATGAGATCAAGTTTACCTTTTGATCCATAAGCCTTAAACATTTACTGTATGGCCCTTAAGACACTTTGCCAACTTCTGCTCTAAAATTTTTTAAGTTTAAATGTATAATAGAAAATGTTAAAAATGAGTTACACAGAACTCACAGCTAAATTTTGCTTATAAATAAGCTTAAAATTTTTAAAATCAGATGTGCTCCAAATTTCAACACTTAAACAAATCCACAGCTATGAATTTCCCTCCGAGCACTGCTTTCACTGCATCACGTGTCAGGGCGTTGCGTTTTCATTCATCCCAAAGCATTTTCTAATGTCCCTTGTGATTTCTTCTTTGACCCCTTGGTTATTTAGGAGCTTTCACTGGAGAGTTTTAAGTAAGGGAGTGGCATGGTATGCTTTGTGACTTTGCAAGAACAGATTGGCTAAGTTGCAGAAAAGCCAGTATGGACGCTGGAGGCCGCTGCAGTTGTCTACACGAGACTTGATGTTGACACTGGCAAAGGCGGTGACGGTGGAGGGGACGGAAAGGATACAGGTGGGACATGTTTTGGAAGTTAAATCTGCAGGATTTATTGATCAAGTACCTGGCCAAGGGAAAAAGAAATTAGGAATTACTTCTAGGTTTTGGCCTGAGTAATTGGGTAAGAGCGACATTTCCCGAGATGGAAGGACAGATTGACTTTTTTCTTTGGTGATGAAGAATGCTGAGGGAGGGCAGAGTTATTTGGGAGGTGAGCTGCTCATCAGCACCGTCAGAGCAGTGGCATCCAAAGTAAAGGCCAGAGCTTTGCTACGTTTGGAAGTCATCGACACAAAGACGCTCATTCCGTAAAACCAAATGAAATCACGCAAGGAGAAAGTGACAGACTAGGGACAAGCCCTGGACTGAGGTAGGAGAGAAGCCAGGAAAGAGACGAGATGGAATGGAAAATGCACCCAGCGAGGTAAGATGGCGCTGAGAAGCCGAGTAAAAAGATGGAGATTAGATTTAGGTGATTTTGATAAAAGCGGTTTTGGTGAAATCGCAGGGACAGATGCTGGACCGCGGGAGGAGCGGAGCGAACAGGCATTTGAGAGAAACTAGAGAAAACTCGCCATGTCCAGTAGGTGAGTGGAGCATGGCACGGGGAGGGCAGCAGCTGGAGGGGCGCGGGCTATGCGCGCCAGGACAGAGAGCTCAAAGACAGGACCCAGAGCACTCGGGGGCGGACTGTCCCGAAACAGGGGGCCGTGTGAGAAATGACGAAGCCCGTGTTGATGCGGGTGGCATGTTGGATTTTAGGGAGGAGATGAGGCGAGGAGGCGGTGAGGCCGTCAGCCGAAAGGAAGAGAATTAAGCGGAACTGCTATGCAGTGCTCTGCAAATGCGGCCACGTCGATCAAACAGGGCGCAGTGGGGACCGCTGGGCAAGGCCGAGTGGCTATTTGAAATGTCAAGCTCGATGACGTTTCTCCGGTGATGTTCAGGTCGTGGAACGAGGAGTCTGAGCTAGTGGATAAAGTGGAGAGAAGAGAGGGCGAGGGAATATATTACTTTGGACTAAGGAACGAAGAGTGGGTCGGGAAGGGGTGCCCGGCAGCGTGGTGCAGGAAGCAGCCTGAGACGGTCCGGAAAGCCAGCTGGAACGGTAGAAGGCGGGGTGGGGGGGTGACCGGAATGTTGGAAAGTGAGGTTCAGAGGGGATGACAAGGCCTTAGAAAGGTTTGGAAGAACAGGGAGGGTTCTAGAAGTCTCACAGGGCAACACGGAGTAGCGACTTCTGAGCAGTTGACATCAGCACTGTCACGACCGCAGACAGCTGCCTCGTGGTCTGCTTTGGATGGCTGACGGACCCAAGGTTCGAAAACAGGAAGATGACTTAGACAATTTTGTATTTATTCAAGTGACAGCATTTATTTTAACTTTAATATAACACGAATGTATTTTTATAAATTAATCTAGCAAATTATTACAACGAATAGGAGCTTAATATTCAGTAACTCAAAACAGCCTGCTGAGTTAAGACCTACTATTTTAGGCTATTTAGTGCCTTCTAATATTGGAGCCATAATTGAATAAATATACTCTCCAACACTATGCTGCAAGTACCAATTTATACTCAGGTAAACATTTTAAAACAGACTTCTAAGTGAGGCTAAATTTTTCCGGTAGATTTTCTAAACTAGTACACAAATTTTAATACTTCTTTATAGTTTAGTCCAAACTATATTCATTTAAAACTTCTTATATGATAAATTTTAGTTTGATAAACTACTTTTGTAAGTATAGTTAACTCAGTAATATTTGGCGCAAATATCGCTATAAAACTTGGATCCTGAAAACTATCTCAAAAGTGAGTGGCATGGCGCAGACGTTTTGGGGCTCAGCGTCGCGTCCCTGAGGTCAAAGGGACTTTCTCAGCTGTAGAGGGATCGGATAAAACTTCGTAACTAGATTCACATGTTCACATTTGCTTCGTGAGCCATGAAGAGTGACAGCAGGCCTCTGCGCACAGTAAGCAGCTCCTCTTCTTGCTATGGCCGAGAAAAGTAAAGGTTTAAATTATTATAAAAGCATCGAATGAAACAGAAGTGTTAACAGCCCTCCCCCAAAGACACGGGGCGTCAGCGCACATGCTAACGCGCAGGGTCCGTGCTCACCGCGGGTCGTCTAGATAGTCCCTGAGAGAAGACCTCAGTCTTTTAAATCCGGAGTCAATGAAATTTCGATTTAATATTTAAAGGAAGAAAAACTGCAGAGTCTCAGCAAGGCTCAGTCTGCCGCGCACCAGCACGCGGGGGCGCCGAGCCCAGAGGTACAAGCACACGCGCCACGCGCCCTGCACGCGGGAGAAGACGCCGAGGACGCCCCCCGCCCTCACACTGCTGGAAAGTCCCACTTGATGTCCGGGTCGCCGGAGTGCAGTCGCCCACGTAGGCGTGGGTCTGGCGGGAGCTCTGCCCCGACGCCCCTTCTGGAGAAGGCACAGCGCAGGGCGACCATTCTGCTAGCTACTTTTTAAATTTGCAAATTGATTTTTTTCTCTAGGAGGGACTCATTTAAACCACTATTTTACTACCAATCCACTCCCATTATTCTAATTGAAATGCTTGAAAGTCACTGGGCGAAAACTGCCTCTTCTCAATCCAGACAGAAGAAAACTCCGTGAAAGGCTTTCCCGTTCCGACGTCGGAGCCTGAGAGATTCTTCCATCTGAAAACCCCGCCAGACTCACCATCTCTTTGAGGAGCCTGGCTTGCAGCACGTTCATCTTTTCCTTCATGAAACACATCTGTAAGATAATTTCCCCCGTGAACTTTACTATCAAAGACAACTTAGACTAACCAACGTTGAGAAATTAGATTGAAAAATATGAACTTTATACCTCAGATGTACAAATATTTTCTTCACGATCAGGGCTGTAGAAGACATTTTTGTCCAATGAAGCTTTCAAGACGCGAAGCCTAACAAAATTAAGTTACCTTTGTATTTATCAGGAATTCAAATTAAATGTCTAAAGTATATATATGAAAAATTTTTAACATCTTAATTGAAAATCTAATTTTATAGATCCTAGTTATTATTATGTCATACTAACCTTTCCTGTTCATTTTTTTGATAAGCGATGAACTTCTGAAATAGCTTTTCCCAAAAGTCCTAAATTTTAAAATACAAAACTAGTTATACTTTAAAAATTCAAACTTGACAGAATTTACTACATTTCTAGTATTTCTAAGTAAACAACTTGGCTATATGCTAAAAATATTCCAGGTGTCACATACTCTTTCAGATAAAAATATTGGAAGTATAACCTCTCAAAGGTATTCATCATTCAATCTAATTTGTTTATATGAAACTGACTAAAAATCTTTAAAAGCGGAAGGTTAGCAGAGGTTTCTCTAAGAGTAGCCCTTTACAAAATGAGGTTTTAAAATTATTTTTAAATCCTTAAAAACACAAACCGCAAATTCCTTCTCCAACTCTTTTAAAGACTGTGAATCTCTCTCCAATTTCTCCAGTTCCTCTATGATGCTGTCTTGGAATTTATCGAGTTTTTTGAGCCTATTAAAGAAACAAGATAGCATTTTTGTTTTTGTTTTGTTTGTTTTTAAATATAGCATGTAGAACATAGAGCACTCAGAAGAGATTTTTGTTACACACCTGTATTCATGAATCTTATGGTTCATTGCTTTCAGGTGGTGTTGAGCCGTTTTCCAAGAGTGATTATTAAAATAATCAATCAATTTTTGGCGGAGCTGAAAAAAAATTATTATTTACAAAAGAATAATCTGCCCAAGACTATATTAGGAACAAAGCCTTTTCCATGAAATGCAAATGACTAAGCACAGAAGTAAAGAGTTAAAGACTCAGTGAAGTGTAAAGAGGAAGCTCAGTCAGAGCAGTGGCTCCGACGAGGGGCTGAACTGGTAACTGGTTTCGTCAGGACGCCACACACTACAATATTTTTTAAAGATGCTAATGATTATAATTCTCTTTGGGAACACAGCCTAAGTCATACTCAGAGTTCTTTAGTATCATTTTTCACAAAACATACATTCACACAACCGAATATAAGGAGGAGGGCTTCTCTGTTTAGACTAGGTCAACCTTGGATAAATAAAATATGCAGAATCGTAAATACTTTCCGATTTTACCTCTGAATAGAAGAAATAGGCAGAGAAGAGGTGGGGCTGGTAACCTGTGCAGAAAGATATTTTTTAACAGGAGGGCAAAAAGAACTAGTGTAAATATAGGCATGCAAGAAAAGAGATGGGCGGAGAAAACACTTTTAGAAGAAGGTGCTTTTGCAGACAGAACCACGTCGGAGCCACAGTAACAAAGGGAACGTCAGTGCAGAGCCGGCGCAGAAGCGGCCTTCTCTGCGGCCGCTCGTGTCTTGCACCGGTGCCCTCGCTAGCAGTCAGCTCCAGGAGATGGAGAATGAGTGAGGCATGAGAAGAAAATGGTTCGCACACAACAAAATCAGAAAAAATATTAAATTAATAAGGAAAATAGGACAAAGAGCCCGTAGAAAAATAGAGATAATGCACGGATTTGAGAAGAAAACCTTGCTCGTGAGATAAGGCCTCACCCAGTGATCATCCTAATTTTTTCACCAGCACACGAGGAAAGTCAGGTTCATGAACGGGGTTTTGTTGCCAAAGGATTAAAGAAGCTGATAGTTTGGTAGAAGGTGTGGCGTGTTATCAGGTATGAATCATAATTTAAAGAATAACTCACACTGACTTTCCTTTTAAATTCCGTATTGAGCTGCTCGTACATGTCTACACCTGAAACTTCAGTTTCCTGGTTCTTTCCAGGAATAAAAATGTCATTTGTTGATAATGGAGAGGTACTTTCAGACACTAAAAAAATGAAGACAAAGTTAAAATATGCATCATTACAAATTTAGCCTTGTCATGAGGCTGAAAACAAAATCTTATTTTCAGATTCTATGTGTAATCTAAGGACTGTGATATCAAAGACAGACCTCATTTTTTTAGTGTAAAAATATTTAGATTTATGAAAAACCTTGTGGCCTGGGTATTAAGGCAGTAGTGGTAACATTAAAATGAAACATTTCTGGATTATTTTTTACTGGGTTGTAGCTACTTCCACGTTATTAACCCAGGTATTAAGTTCATACTCCTGTAAAACTTATACGAGGTAATCAGTAATAGGAGGAGGGAAATTTGTGGTTAAGAAAGACTGTACTATATTTATTCACATGGCGAGCTTCACAATGAAGCATCATCCTTCGTGGACTTAACCAAAGCTGTCGTCACAAAGGCGCTTGTTTTGAGTATGGAGTCATTCAAGACCTAAGAAACTACCTCCCAAAATAGCTGCATTTGGACACACGCAGGATCTGCCTACCTTTGTCAGCGCGATCATTCGCACCTTCGATTTTAGACTGTTTTTTTCGGGCAAGCAAGTTTGCTATCCCATCCTCGTCCTCTTCCTCTTCCAATTCCACTTCGTAGGAATTACTTACGTTATCTTCCATGTACATCCGTTTGCGATTCAGATGGTGCGTAGGGCCTGAAGAACAGTTAAAAAACAGGGCTGCAGTCTGGATTTAAAATACCTCATATGTTCTTGCTTTTATGAAAAAAGCCTTTGTTTCAGTTATTTACATCGTTTTAGGCAACCATGCATTAATTCTACCTAGTTCTTTATTTTCTTGTGGACATCAGGCAAACTGAATACTGGGATGACTTAAAATATGTGATTCCTTTAAGTGAAATTTAACAGCAGTATTTCGGCAATTAATTTTTGTTTTGAAGCAAGGCTCTGACCACACACCTGATATGTGAGCGGAGTCCCGGGGCACGCCATGCCATACTTTCTCTCGTCCTTCACTGGACATGGACAGTGGGGATGCTGAACGACTTTCCTAAATTGGAAAAACATACATAAGTGCTCTTAGATTCACTGCATCGTCTTTCTCTAAGCCTCAAGCCAGTAAACTGCGAATGCTGTCAATTCCTTTTGCAGATTATTTTTGTAGCCCTTTCTTTTCATCTGACACTACTGTGCATTAATCTAAAGCCTTAGGTTAACCTCGGCCTTAAACTGTAGTAATACTTTTGAGCTGGCTTTTGTGAATACTCCTTTTTAATTTGTCCTTAGTAGGATTCTGATTTGAGTCCTACTGATTTGAGAACATGGGGAACCATAGGAAATAAGTCTAAACTCTTTATATCTTTAACTAAGACACATCTTTTTTTTTTTAAAAAAACCATTTTTTTTTTTTTTTTTTTTTTTTTTTTTTTTACTGTTTCAATACACAGGTTTCTTTCTTGCAATCAAATGAGTTTCTTCCCTTTTCATGAAAATGCGTGTCCGCTTCCAGCTCCCTGAGATATTCCTGTTATTTCTCCACTTAGCCTGTGCGTACCCACCCTCCCACCTAGGTCAAGGTTGAATCCCAGCTCTCTCCAAGATGTAAAATTCTGTCTGGACTTTCTGTATTTTACAGATTAAAATATTTTTGTCGATGGATTGATGGACTTTTATAGTGGCAAAAAGCTCAACTGAATTCCTATATAACCATGAAACCAGAAAGGCCTAGTTATAAATATGCAAGTCAGTAGTTTAGCAGCTAAATCCTCATCATTTAAGACCTTGATGCTTCTTATTTTAAAATTTAAACTTTTTCTATGATCAAATTATCCCACACATTTTAAACAACAGATTTGCTGGTAATAACAGTTGAGAAATATTAAAGTATTATAATTATTATTAAAGGCCAGTAATCAATTCTTATCAACCATATTTAAGGAAAGGTTGATGGCTTTACTATCACATAACTCCGTTTGTATATGATTTTCATTGATATTTGGAGATTCAATTTCCATAAACTGTTTTTCAGAACCGTAACTGCATACATTTGAATAAGCTGTTGCAATTTCATGTGTGTGTAAGTACCCCAGAATTTACATTTTTTTCTATTCACAATAGCATTCTTAATTGGAGCATGCCTGGACTATGAATGAACAAGACCTATAGAAACCCAAAGAAAGTAAAAAATTATTTAAAACCAAAAAAAAAATTTTAAAGCAAAAAATTAAACCCAGAAAACAAATTTTTTTCAATACAGCACAAAGGAAACCCATCAAACACTTAGGAACTAATCTAACAAATATAACTTCCTCTGTGGAAGGTCTGGCACAACTTTGTTGGAAATAAGACCAAAAAGTAGAGAAAAATGAAGTATGTGGATGAGAAAGCTCAGTATCGATTCTGGGAAACCATAATTCTTCCCTCACGCGGACTGATTCTAAAATTAAAATGGACAATACAGGCCAAGAGAATTTGGAAGTGAAAGAATGAGACCGGGTGGTAAAACGCCCCGTGAGTGTGAGACCACACGGCTTAAAGCGGCGCGGTGCCGGCTCAGAGACAGGCGCGGGCCCGTGTGCTGGCCAGGCTGACAGCTGGCCCATGCAGGTCAGCGTGACAAATGATGGCGAGAGAAGGGGTAGTCCATGCTTGCTGCAGCACCAATTCACCGTCCATCTGCAAAGGGAAAGCCTAGAAAGACTGAAAACTTAAATGTTAAAACCAAAATGAACATTTTTAAAATAAAATGTTAAGCAGGGTCGGGCCTGGTTAGTACTTGGATGGGAGACCACCTGGGAAAACCAGGTGCTGTAGGCGTAAAAATAAAAAATAAAGGATTGTAAGCGGACAAGGTCCTTGCAATCTGTGAGGGTTGCCTCGCCTAAAACAATAAAAAAGAAAGGAGAGGGAGAGGGAGACGGGGGATAGAGGGGG